CCGCCCCGCCCCGCCCCGCCCGGGCAGGGCGCTCCCCCCAGCCCAGCTCACCTGCAAAGCACCGATGGCAGCGCTTTGGAAGCGCAGATCTGTTTTGAAGTCCTGAGCAATTTCACGCACCAGACGTTGGAAGGGAAGTTTGCGGATCAAAAGTTCGGTAGATTTTTGATAGCGCCTGATTTCACGGAGAGCCACAGTCCCCGGCCTTTTAAAATTAAACAAACAAACAAACAGTATTCAAATCATATCCTACACCACCTTAAAACACGGGTTCACCAGCTAAACTGAACTGAGCACGGTGTACGTGCTGTTTTCACTGGAAGAGTCCCGGCGTTCACAACACAAAGGCAGTGTCACTGGCAAAGGGTCACTGTTTTCTCACCATCACTCTGTGCCAACTTCCACAGCCCCCGGCAGGGATCCCTCAGGTAGATGCGATGCCCTCAAGGCCCTTACTTCACTAAGAGAAGAGGTGGCAAACCTCAACACATCTGCGAGCTTGCTAGCTCAGCTGTACCACAGGTACCTCCCAGTGACCAGTCCCGAGGAATAAACTCAATGTTAACAGGAATCTGGATCTTCTTCCCTACTGACATAAGACACTGTCAAAACGCAGCACCCACAGAACTAACAGAGTTTATATTCCATGACATATTAGCAGTACAAAGTACCTAGTGTACTTTTGCAGACACAAAGTGAATTTAACATCGTATTTATTTCTGTGAAAACGTTTAATTTTTCAGCTTTATTACCCTTTCTCTGCCGATTCCACCTCACACGTACAGCAACAGGATTTTAGGTTAAGTTCACTGTTTCAAAACCACCTCTCCCCTCCCGGTGCGCTCCTTCCCGAGGAACACGCACACCTCGCCAGGACCACCGAAGCACGGCTGTGACCCTGCGCCAACCCCGGGCTGAAAGACCCGGTGACCAGAGGGCTGGCACGGGGTTCCGACCGAGCAGCAACGCCGGCCCCGCGGCGCCCCCTGCCGGCGGGCAGCG